TTCAATCTGAATGGCGGCAACGTGTGCAGGCGGCTAAGAGCGTCTGCTTTGTTTTTGTGGCCGAGCTTGTACACGATGTCGTAGTGGAAGTGTGTCTCGAGGAAGTCGATCCACCGGACCTGCCGCCTGGAAAGGTTGGGTTGTGCCTTGAAGTATTTCAGGCTGCAGTGGTCAGTGTAGACGGTTGTTCTTCGTCCTTCGAGATAACATCTCCACGCTTTGAAGGCAATGACGATGGCAAGGGCCTCTTTGTCATGTATCGGGTAGTTTAGTTCTGCTCCATGTAGTTTCTTGCTGAGGTAGGCGATTGGTTGCAGTCCATTACCCTGGTCTTGCATTAAGACTGCTCCCACTGCCTGGTCGCTGGCGTCAGCTTCGATTACGTAGTCGCGTTCGGGATCTGGCAAGATGAGTACCGGTGCGGACGTGAGTGCTTGTTTCAGCTGCCCCACGGCTTCCTGGTGCTTTGGTTCCCATTTATAGGGCGTGTTCTTCTTCAGCAGACTCGTGAGGGGTGCTGCGATTTTCGCATACTGTGGCACGAACCTGTTGTAGTAATTAGCGAAGCCTAGGAACTGCTGCAACTCCTTCACGTTCTCGGGTGTCTTCCACGTACGTACGGCTTCGATTTTCTTGGGGTCGACGTGAACTCCTTGAGCGCTCACCAGGTGTCCTAGGAACTGGACCTTCTCAAGGGCGAATTCTCTCTTGGACAGTTTGACGTAGAACCGTTCTCGTCGAAGAATTTCGAAGACGCGTTGTAGGTGCTCGACGTGCTGCTTCATGTCGCGCGAGTAGATGAGGATGTCGTCCAGGTACACCACCACGCACTCGTCCAAAAGTGGTCGTAGAATGTGGTTCATTTTGGCTTGAAACATTGCCGGTGCGTTGGTGAGTCCGAACGGCATTATCAAATACTCGTACGATCCGTACCGAGTTCGGAAAGCAGTTTTGTGGATAGAGTTGTCCGCCATCCGTATCTGCCAGTATCCGGACCGCAGATCCAGTTTGGAAAATACCGTAGCTCCTCGAAGCTGGTCAAGCAGGTCATCGATTCACGGTATCGGATATTTATTCTTGATGGTCTGCTTGTTAAGAGCTCGGTAGTCGATGCACATGCGCAGGCTTCCGTCCGGTTTCGGTGTGAAGAGTACTGGGGCACCGTATGGCGAAGTGGATGGCCGGATGAGTCCTTTGGCTAGGAGATACTCGATCTGTTTTTTCATGTCGGTCAGCTCCGTAGGGCTGAGCCGGTATGGTGCTCGGAAGGTCAGCTTCGAACCCGGTTCCTCCACGTTGATGCGTTCGGTATGGCGGTAGCTCGTTCGGAAGATCGTCAGGAAGAATGTCTTGGAACTCCTTCAGTAATTCCTTGATTTTTTCTGGAGGTTTCGAGGCTTTCTCTCCGTCATTCTCCACCTCTGTTGCTATCGCCAGGAACCCGGTGTCGGTTCGCTTCAAGTCCTTTTCGAATCTGGCGAGTGTCTCCACTGGGATATCTCCTGTATCATCCCAGTTAGGTAGCTGTACTCTCTCTCCATTGTTGTAGATGCTTGCGGTGCGGTTCACCCAGTTGATCTCGGGGTTGAATCTTTTCAGGAAGTCTTGCCCGAAGATCAGGTCAAGCCCTTTGATGTTGGTGATGGGGAGAGCACGTCTCCAGCGCAGTGGCCCGATTTGTAGGTGTAGCACTGCTTTGCCGTATACTCGTAACTTGCTGCCGTCCACTATCGTTGCAGAGAATCCAGATGGCTTGTACTCTTCCCGAAGTCGGTCGATTACTGCCTTGTTGCAGACGGTGTGTGACGCTCCGCTGTCCACGAGTGCTTGGAGGCGTCGTCCTTTGCAGATGACCTCGAGCACGAGGGGCAGGCGTTGCTCGGAGTACCCAAAGATAGTTTCATTGAGTGGGTCATAGGGTACATCCCAATATTCCGTACACACCTTTGTGTTGCTATCTACTCCTGAGCTGGCAGCTGGCCGAGGCTGCTTGGAGAACGGCTCTTCTCCAGGGCCCGGAGTTTCCTTGACGACTGTGCGCGTCATTGATGCCGAAGAACTGGATGCATCAGTAGGAGAAGGAATTCGGGGTTTGTGCAGCTTCTTGTAGACCCCCAGCTTCCTCTTGAGCTGCTTCAGCTCCACCGACGTCTTCCCTGGGGAACGGGTGGTCGTTGTGGGCTGGTGTCGGGAGAGGACGTTGACTCCGTGGAAAGGTCGGCTTCTTTCCACACTCCTTAATTTGGTCCCCAAGTTGTCCGGTACCGGTATACTCTCCATAGTTGTCTGCTTCTTTTGGAGTCCCTCCCGAAATTTCTCCAAGGCTCTTGCTCCTCGAAAATCATAAGTTTTTATTAAAGCATCTTTGTAAGACAACTTTAACGAATCCTTATAATTTCTTGGGTCTTCAAGGAGTTTCCCTGTCTCGGCAGAGTCTTTTTCCGCGGAGTCGTATTTTTCCTTGGCGATTTTCCCTGGCGAAGATTGGTCGTGGGGTGGAGATTTTCCCCCATCATTTCCTCCTTCTCGCGTCGAATCAGCTTCGTCGAAGTTGATTTTCTCGGAATCCCGCGGCCGCTTCCGGATCTTTTTATTTTCGCCAGCTAGATCCGCAATCACTGGCGAGTCCCGTTTTTTGGCTTCTGATTGGCCGAAGGAATTCCGCCACTGTTGCGTGCCCGATACTCTGCGCGTGCGGTTTTCATTTTGTTGCAGTCGAATATTCGATGACTCGGCATCCCGCAAAAATCACACGTGTAGTTGGTGTTTTTCGGACGTGGCCGCCCTTCGAATCTGTCGACTTCCATCGGGTCGGCGAACGTGGGGTGAGCCGAGCAGTCGCCCTGTCGCGTACTGCCGACGTGCGTCCGTCGTGTTCCGGTGTTGACCATGTCGATGCACTCCGCGGCCGATACGACGTCACTGTAGCTCGCGTAGTTTGACGCTGCCACCTGTCGTTTTACTTCGGTCTTCAGCCCGGCGAGGTACGATTGTACTTTTTCCCCTTCGGTCAGGTCGGGAATGCGGTTATAAAATTCCTCCATCTGCTGCGTGTACTGCGCTACACTCCCGAACTGTCGGTATCGATGATTATTTTCCCGGGCAAGGAAACTCGAATTTATCGGCTCGAATCGTTTCAGCAGGTCGGCGCGGAACTGCTGCCACGTGGCTTCACCGTGGATGAAGGTACTGTTGCCGCCAATCCACTCGAGTGCCGGCCCTCGCATCAGTGTCGCCGCGAGTCGTACGCGTTGACCGTCCCAGACTGGCGAGCTCCATCCGACGGCTGCGAAGTAGATCTCCATCCCGGCGATCCATCTGCGGACGTCGGAGTTTCGATCGCTCGGATCGAACGGCTCAGGTGGGCGCGGTTTCGGAGCCTCAAGAAACTGCTGCGACTGCTGCGTCGTCGCCGTTGTCGTTTCGTGTTGCGCTCCGGCGAGTCGAGTTACTCGCTCGAACTCGTTTCGCCATGCTTCGCGGTCCGCTCGCATCTCCTCCTGAAGGGCTGCGATGCGCGCGAAGAGCTGCTGGGTAACCTCGGCGCTGTCGAGGTTCGCCATCCTGTTCAAAAACACGCGCGGAGGGGGTAATTCGAAAAAGCGCGGAGCTGGTGCTTACCAGAATCGGCGTCGAATTGGTCGCCCCCGGCAGTTTTTCGAGGCAGGATCCCCGCTGCTGCTGCTTAGCTGAGCGCGGTCGAGTGAGAAAAGCTCTTATTACCAAGTGTTACAGGATCGAATGTGTCGAGGAAAGGTTGCCTTATCGATTAGTACAAGGCGTTTTTATACTTCCAAAGTACATCAGGTAACCAGGTTTATCTTATCCTAAGGGAATAGACTCTTCTAGAAGATAGAATCACCCTGCGTATAGCCACGCGAGGCTATTGGATTTAAGGGATTACGGCAGGATTACGCCAGATAGCGCACCAGTACATCCCAAGCCTGGTTGGTGATATAACTATAATAGCAGGATAAACCAAAGGTTAATGGAAAATGGAGAATAGGAAACCAAATGAGATGAGATAAAAAGAGGAATGAGAGAGGAAGGAAATAAGAAAAGGGACAAGTGGTGTAACGGGGTCGTATTGTCACAACAGCACTGGTCGGCAGCAAAGAGGGTTTTGCGTTATCTAGCAAGTACATCGGGCATGGGGCTAGTGCTAGGAGGACGGAGACTTGTGGTCCTTACCGGGCACACAGACGCTTCTTGGGCAGATGATGCCGAGACTCTCAGGTCCTCACAGGGCTACTCCTTTAGCCTTGGTGCAGGTGCCATCTCGTGGAGGTCCACCCGTTCCTCGTCTGTTGCCTACTCTAGCTGTGAGGCTGAGGTCTACGCAGGTGCCATGGCGGCACAGGAGCTTTGCTGGCTGACCTTCTTGCTCACCGACTTGGGTGAGCGGCCTAGCTCTGCCCCGGTTTTGTACGCTGACAACAGGGCCATGATCCTCCTGTGTCAGGAGCCACGACTTGAGGGCAGAGCGAAGCACATCCAGCTGCTGTGCTTCCTCTTGCGCGAGCTGCATCAGCGTCGCCAGGCTCGTGTAGTACACTTGGCCTCAGGTGCCAACACAGCTGATATCTTTACTAAGGCGCTTGCGTCTAAAGATCATCAGCGGCACTGTGTACAGCTAGGTCTCGTTCATGTAGCCTCTCACTTTCTAGGACCTTGATTGTGTACAAACCTTTATATATATTTTTTATTCTTGACTGGCCTTGTGACCTCTTCCCAGTGATTGGACTAATAGTGCCACCCTGGTCTTGCTCTTGCCTTGTCTGTACTTGTTTGACTGGTCTTTAGACCCCTACCTCAAAGGCTGGACTAGTAGTGCCACCCTAAATTGTTTCTCTCTCATTGGGCACTGCCCCTATCCAATCTAGGGGGTGTGTCAAACATATTTTGTATGTTTTTGTAGACTATATAGGTTTGTGCCTTAGGGAGTACAACCCATTAGGTTCCCTTGTATGCCTTGTTCTAGTCATTCTTTCACTTAGAACAACTCGCTCTTAACTAATTGTGCACATTGTCTCTTTGGCTTTTTTTACTGACTGCTTATGGGTCATACCTTATGCATGTCGCTCTCATTGGTCTCTGTTGAACTCCTGTCTTGCATGTACTCATATCTCTTGCCAGTTCAGTTCGCCTTGAGTGAATTCATAATTACCATCGTTAGCTTCCCCCACCACCAACCAACAGCACCACTGGCCAGGTAGTCGACAGAACACTCAAAGCTTCCGCTATTGCACTCAGCCACGCCGCAGCGTTACACCCTCATCAGTACCGCACTACCAAAGACCCCACGCTCGCTTCTTCTCCTTGCCGCCCTCCCGGTCGTCCTTCTTGTCCCCCCCACTCGTCCCTCCTGCTGTCGTGCCATCGCCATCCTCCTCCCCAGCCTGTTTGCCCTCTGTGCCCCCACCCCCTTCTGAGTCCCATTCCTCCAGCAGCTTCCTCTGCCGCGCCGACAGCTCCCTGCACGGGCCAGGGGTTGGGTGGGGTTGGGCATGAGCAGTGCGGGAGGAATGGGCGGGTGGGATGCGATGGTACGACGATGCCACAGCTGACAAGTGAATGGCTGAGATGCAAGTGCGCATGCGCAAGCAGAATACGGGAGCAGGCAGCCAAGCAGAGAGGACGCGGGTGTGGGCGCAATGAAGGAAGCGAGACGAGAGGCGAGCAAGAGGTGCACCCACGTGGGCACTTGGACGTTGACGTGCACAAATTGACTCCCCGCACGACGACTGGTGGGCGCTCGCACTCCTGGCAAGGGGCGTTGGGAGAGTGTCGAGGGAGAGGGGATAAGGGGGCGAATGTGAGAGTGGAATACTCAAGGGATACGCAGAAAGCAGCACAAGCAGCACACGTTTAGTAAAAGAACAGCAGACAAGAAATCAAATATTGAGCCATGGGAGGGTGCTGGCAAGTCAGAAGTTGACCCTTCCAGGCTAGCGTTGGCGGTACCTTTATCCCGCAGCTGCAGCACCTGCCCCGGCTGTGTGCCTGGCTTGATCTGCACAAGGAACGCATTGGCAGTGTGGTAGGGGGTTGCTGCATGCGGGGACTTCTTGATGCTGCTAAGACCGGGGAATGCCGGCCCACGAACAAATGCATGGAGGCATGGGCATGGTGGCAGGTGCACGGCATGCACACATTTAGTGAGTAACGGCATGCAAGTCCAGCAGGAACTGGCTCCGGTCCGGGCACGAGTGGCAGTCACGGCAGCCACTCTAGTGGGCTGGCGTGGCACAGCACGGCTGGCAGCAGCAGCGCACCTTGAGCAGGACCTCCCCTGACAGTGTTGGCACGGGCACCGATGCTCCGAGACACGCCTGGGGGGCGACAGGGCAGAGTTGGGGCGGGGGATGGAGGGGAGGAAGGGTATGTGTAGGAGAGGAGAGGGCTTAGCATGCGGAGGCAAGGGGAAACAAGGGCTGAGAAAGTAGGGATGCGAGGTAAGTATGATACGAGGTCATCAAAATGGGTGGAGATGAGATACAGTGCAGGCAGGAAAGGACACGGAGCACATAAATGGCACATGGAGATGGCACCTGGGGGAAGGACACATGAGGTTGACACCCGGGGAAACGACACATGGAGGTGGCACCTGGGGGAAGGACACATGAGGTTGACACCCGGGGAAACGACACATGGAGGTGGCACCTGGGGGAAGGACACATGAGGTTGACACCCGGGGAAATGACACATGGAGGTGGCACCTGGGGGAAGGACAAATGAGGTTGACACCCGGGGAAAAGACACATGGAGGTGGCACCTGGGGAAAGGAGACGTGGAGGTCGACGTGGATGTCGTTGCCATCCCTCTTGAACACCGGGTCCTCCTCCACCTGCCAAACGCACACAGACAACACGGGCAGCACCGGTAACACGCACACACGGGCAACACACGCACACACGGGCAACGTGCGCCTTCAGCTCGACTTGATGCACGGCAATCCGTCCGTGCCAGCAGAGGGCAATTGAACGAGACAACAAAGAACCCTGGCACCCTTTACAGCAAATGTACCTTGTAGTGGACGAAAGTGAATGCTCATGAGCAGGTCACCTGAATGTTCATTAGCGGTCACCTGAATGTTCATTAGCGGTCACCTGAATGTTCATTAGCGGTCACCTGAATGTTCATGAGCAGGTCGCCAGGCGGTGCCCCTTTTCCACCTGCACCTCCCTGGCCCTGCAGCCGCAGCGTCACTCCCGAGTCCACCCCTGCTCGCCACCCCACACACCGTTGTCGGTAAAAGGGGTGGGGGGGGGGGTTGCATGGTGGGAGAGACGAGGGACTGACAGAGTTGTGGGACTTGGACGCATTGGGTGGGTTGAGAGGAAATCACTCAAGGATGTGAAGGGATGAGACAGATGGCACGTTGAGGTGTGGGCTTGACTTATGGTCCCAGTGACACACCTGCTGGTATCTTGACATCTACTTCCCTCCTCTCGTTCACTGTACCCTCCCCATGGCATGACTTGCACCGCTCCTGATGCATGCACAGGTGACGCCATGATGCCATGATGCCATGATGAAATGACGCCATGATGCCATGATGCCATGACGCCATGACGCCATGACGCCATGACGCCATGATGCCATGATGCCATGATGCCATGATGCCATGATGCCATGACGCCATGACGCCATGATGCCATGATGAAATGACGCCATGATGCCATGATGCCATGATGCCATGACGCCATGACGCCATGACGCCATGATGCCATGATGCCATGATGCCATCATGCCATGATGCCATGATGCCATGATGCCATGACGCCATGACGCCATGATGCCATGATGCCATGACGCCATGATGCCATGATGCCATGATGCCATGATGCCATGATGCCATGATGCCATGATGCCATGATGCCATGACGCCATGATGCCATGATGCCATGATGCCATGATGCCATGACGCCATGATGCCATGATGCCATGATGCCATGATGCCATGACGCCATGATGCCATGATGCCATGACGCCATGATGCCATGATGCCATGATGCCATGATGCCATGATGCCATGACGCCATGATGCCATGATGCCATGACGCCATGATGCCATGATGCCATGATGCCATGATGCCATGATGCCATGACGTCATGATGCCATGATGCCATGACGCCATGATGCCATGATGCCATGATGCCATGATGCCATGATGCCACGAAAAACAAGAGGGCACATACAAACGGGCAGATGAGGGGGGGAATTAGAGGTGTCAGAAAGAGGGGATGGGGAGAAAAAAAGGAACAAGGTGCTATCCAGACAGAAGCCAACAGTGCAAGGAAACGTAATGCAAACAAGAAATAGCACCTTAATGAACACCCCCTGGCCGCCGCAGGACGAGCATGTTTGCATGACCACAGACGCGCCCACTCGCCGCATCTCCTGCCGTGTGGGGTTGGGGTGAATGGTGGGGAGGGAGAAGGCGAGAGAAAGGAGGGGCCAGTGGCGAGGAAGGAGAGCAGGAGTGGCAAGGGAAGGAGAGCAGGAGTGGCAAGGGAAGGAGAGCAGGAGTGGCGAGGAAGGAGAGCAGGAGTGGCAAGGGAAGGAGAGCAGGAGTGGCAAGGGAAGGAGAGCAGGAGTGGCAAGGGAAGGAGAGCAGGAGTGGCAAGGGAAGGAGAGCAGGAGTGGCGAGGGAAGGAGAAAAGCTCCAAGGGAAAAAGGGGTGCTGACCATGCCTTGGCCCTTGCACGCCTTGCATGCTGTGGGCTGGTAGCCCTTGGGCAGACCCGAGCCATCTGCAATTCAAGGGACACAGGGGTAAGAGAACATGGCAGAGGCACGAGGAGCAGTGCATTGCGGAACGAAACACAACTGAGTCAAACCTCAGTGCATGCATCAACACCACCACTGCAGGCGCCAACACCACCACTGCATGCATCAACACCACCACTGCAGGCGCCAACACCACCACTGCATGCATCAACACCACCACTGCAGGCGCCAACACCACCACTGCATGCATCAACACCACCACTGCAGGCGCCAACACCACCACTGCATGCATCAACACCACCACTGCAGGCGCCAACACCACCACTGCATGCATCAACACCACCACTGCAGGCGCCAACACCACCACTGCATGCATCAACACCACCACTGCAGGCGCCAACACCACCACTGCATGCATCAACACCACCACTGCAGGCGCCAACACCACCACTGCATGCATCAACACCACCACTGCAGGCGCCAACACCACCACTGCATGCATCAACACCACCACTGCAGGCGCCAACACCACCACTGCATGCATCAACACCACCACTGCAGGCGCCAACACCACCACTGCATGCATCAACACCACCACTGCAGGCGCCAACACCACCACTGCATGCATCAACACCACCACTGCAGGCGCCAACACCACCACTGCATGCATCAACACCACCACTGCAGGCGCCAACACCACCACTGCATGCATCAACACCACCACTGCAGGCGCCAACACCACCACTGCATGCATCAACACCACCACTGCAGGCGCCAACACCACCACTGCATGCATCAACACCACCACTGCAGGCGCCAACACCACCACTGCATGCATCAACACCACCACTGCAGGCGCCAACACCACCACTGCATGCATCAACACCACCACTGCATGCATCAACACCACCACTGCATGCATCAACACCACCACTGCATGCATCAACACCACCACTGCATGCATCAACACCACCACTGCATGCATCAACACCACCACTGCATGCATCAACACCACCACTGCATGCATCAACACCACCACTGCATGCATCAACACCACCACTGCATGCATCAACACCACCACTGCATGCATCAACACCACCACTGCATGCATCAACACCACCACTGCATGCATCAACACCACCACTGCATGCATCAACACCACCACTGCATGCATCAACACCACCACTGCATGCATCAACACCACCACTGCATGCATCAACACCACCACTGCAGGCGCCAACAGCAGCACTCACTGCAGGTGCCAACAGCAGCACTTACTGCAGGCACGGCAGCACTCACTGCAGGCACGGCAGCACTCACTGCAGGCACGGCAGCACTCACTGCAGGCGTCGCATCGCACGGGCGCAGTGAAGGAGAGGTGGCGCGTGCCCCCGTCCACAGCCTCCCTCAGCGTCAGCCTCACCGCTACCTGCACACTCGCCCCCGCCCTCGGCCCCCTCGCCCCCATGCCCATGCCGCCCATGCCCATGCCCCCCATGCGCCCAAAGATGCCACCCAGCATCTGCAGAGAGGAGGGCGATAAGAGGAGGGGGGCAAAAGGAGTGGGGGAGGGGGGAGGGTTGAATGGGGCCAGGAGAAGAGGAGGTAATCAGGGGCAGCAAGTGCACGGCGAGTGCAGGTTGTGGGAAGCAGAGGGTGGTGAGGGGCGAGCTGCCAGTGACAGCTGGCACAGATGCTGTTTCCCCTCTGCTCCAACCCCTCCCCTGCTCCCACGTCCCCACTCCTGCTACTCACGGGTGGCCTCTGCTCTCCTCCTTACGTGGATGCCATGGCGCACTGTCTCACTAAGCCATCCCCCCCCCTCCTTTCCCCGCCCCCTTCCCCTTTTTCTCGCCCCCCACCTCTTCAAAGTCCGACGGCCCTCCGAAGCCCGAGAAGCCGCTGAAGCCCTGAGCGCCCGGCCCTGCCCCTGGGCCCCCTGATGCCGCCCCCTCAAACGCCTCCGCTCCAACCTGCGGGCGCCACAGGGGGCAGGCAGGGCGGACGAGGGGTGTACAATGGCCTGCCACGTTGTACAATGGCCTGCCACGTTGTACAATGGCCTGCCACGTTGTACAATGGCCTACCACGTTGTACAATGGCCTACCACGTTGTACAATGGTCTACCACGTTGTACAATGGCCTACCACGTTGTACAATGGCCTACCACGTTGAACAATGGCCTACCACGTTGTACAATGGCCTACCTGGTCGTACATGGCCCTTTTTTCATCATCCTTAAGCACCTGCATGGGAAGACATACACACACACACAGAAACAACCACACAAACACACCCACAACCACACACACACTCGTGCTCAGACGCACACACTCTCATGCTCACTCACACGCATGAACGACATGCATGAGGACACGTACACGCACAGTAGACACTCACATGCATGCACACAAGCGATACGGTTAAGGTTCAGCATGTAGGCTGGCATGGAAGCGGCGACTCACATGACACAATTGCATGCAGAGAAACAAAAGAGAGGCAGATGGAGCAGGGAACGCAGTGCACATGCAGTCCGCCAGCAGCGATGCCATCTCCCCTGCCTGCTGCCACCGCTCGCACCTCGCATGCCTGCTACTATCTCATCTCACCTCGTACGCCTGCTGCCATGTCATCTCACCCCGTACGCCTCTCACCTCGTACGCCTCTCACCTCGTACGCCTCTCACCCCGTACGCCTCTCACCCCGTACGCCTCTCACCTCGTACGCCTCTCACCTCGTACGCCTGCTGCACCTCCTGGAACTTCTTGGCTGCATTGGGGTCGTCCTTGTTCGCGTCCGGGTGGTGCTTCTTCGCCAGCTGCGGGCCGCCACCACACACCAGCCATGCAGCGCGGCGGGTGCAAGGGACAATAAGGGAGAGGGGTAAGTTGGGAAGCGCATGGTATTGCACAAGAGTCTGGCATCACAGCACCTGATAAGCATGCCTCTCCATAACACCCGAGGCCTTGCGAGGTGATGACACACCAAGTGAACGGAAAACTTGAGGCGAAAGTTCTAACTTGTACGAGAAGGTGCTTGAGAGGTGCAGGCGAGACAGTAGTGGTAAGGCACGTGCACGAACCGCATAGAAGGCCTTCTTGATCTCGGCTGCTGACGCACTCCTTGACACCCCCAAGACACCGTAGTAGTCCTGTGCCCTGCCTGCTGCCGCTGCCACGGCTGCCCGCCAGAGCGAGCGAGAAAGAGAGAGAGAGAGAGAGAGAGAGAGAGAGAGAGAGAGAGAGAGAGAGAGAGAGAGAGAGAGAGAGAGAGAGAGGGAGAGAGAGAGAGAGAGAGAGAGAGAGAGAGAGAGAGAGAGAGAGAGAGAGAGAGAGAGAGAGAGAGAGAGAGAGAGCATGAGCCTTTCCTCAGCTATATAAGGCCCTCTCTCTCCCCATTCTCCTTGTTTAGTTTCCATTCATTCTCTTTTTCTCCCTGTTTTCGGCTCGCGAGAGAGAGAGAGAGCGAGAGAGAGAGAGAGAGAGAGCATGAGCCTCTCCTCAGCTATATAAGGCCCTCTCTCTCCTCATTCTCCTTGTTTAGTTTCCATTCATTCTCTTTTTCTCCCTGTTTTCGGCTCGCGCCGGCGGCCTTCGGCCGCCGTCGCTCGCGGCGCGGCCTCCGGCCGCGCAGTTCGGGGATGGCAAGCAACTACACAACCATATAGGACTCAGCGGGAGTATACAACATTGGCCACCAAGGCCCCTACAGGGCATACTGAAGCAAGCATGGAGAACCTGATCCGCCGTGCGGGGGCGCTCAGACTGCAGGACTCACCGCCCCGCCGCACCTACTCCCGCCGCCCTGCTATTCCGCGACAGCAGCCAGCCCGGCCTCCTCCAGCAACGCGGCCTGGTACGACATCAGGACCTGCAGCGTGGACACGGCGCCAGCTACAAGCCCTGCAGCTGACGCCGAGTCTATGCTCGCCGACACCTGGCGGAGCGCGGCGAGAAGGAGAGGGTCCGTGCCAGTTCCCCGGGAGGGCCCGGGCCGCGCGCGCGCAGCCTCCACAGCGAGATCTATGGCTGCTTCCATGCAGCCCTGAAGGGGGAAGTACGGGGCCATTGACAGGCCCCCTGAGTTCCCCAGCACGGAGCTCGCCGCCGCCAGAATCGTCAGCAATATCTCGGTCCCCCTCCGAGCGTGCCCAAGACGACGAAGCGTGGCGGCTGGGACCGCTATCACCGCGGGAGCCACCGCCCCCAGCCCCACCGTCGGCGTGCTCCTTCGCGCCGCCACCCCGGCCCCCCGGGCTCGACGGGGAGATCCCTCGCCTGGGGACTCCGTGCCCCCCGTCTCCGCTGCTTCTGCCCCCGCCTCTACACCCTGTGGGGATGGCGCACGCCGCCGTGGGGGAACGAACTGACCGACCACGCCCCCTCCGCGGTAGAGCCCAACCTGGGGTTCGGCCCACTCCGCAGACCCAGCCCATGACGAGGGGGGATGCCACTCCGGGAGCGTATCAGCGGATGATACGGGGCCGCCCATCTGGGACGCTGGCAGGGACCCGCGATGCGGGTCGTAGTACCCCGGGGGGGAGAGGACCGACACGTACGGGGGCGGCAGGTGCGCGGCAGGGCGCAGGGCAGGATACGGGCCCCCAGGCGGTAATGGCTGCAGCATCGGAGCAGGCGCGGAGAGGAGAGGAGCCGCCAGAGGAGGTGGCGGGAAATGCAGGCTCGTTTGCTCATCCCCGCGCGCCACCACAGGACGAGGTTGCACACGCTGCAACTGAGGGGGACACGCTCCAACAGGAGCCGGCTGGTCGGGGAGGGGCGGAGGAAGGACTTGAGGCGGCAATAGAGGCTGCGCCTGGAGGGGGAGCCGTCGGGGAGGATCCTGCTGGGGGGGCGAAGGGAGCAGCCCAGCGCCAGCCCGCTCGAGGATGCCCTCCAGCGTCGCGGCAGTACGCGCCAGCCGCCTCTCCAGTGCGCTTCCCCTTCGCCCCCGACGCGGACCACCTCGCCCCGAGGGGCCGTTCGGCGCACGTTGCTGTTGCGGATGGGGACGAGACGGCAGCACAGGGGGGGGGCGGGGGCTCGCCGCGCGGGATAGTGCAGGCGGCGACAACCCAGCAGGGGGACACTCGCGGACCTCTGCACCAGCCACCACCGCTCGCCCCTCCAGCCGAAGCGGCGTCGCCGCCCGCATCCGACTGGGGGACGCTGGCGCGCTCGTGGACGGCACTGGGAGCCCGCGCGCCCACCGCTGGTCCGACGGGGGGGGGGAGCTCGACCGACCTCGGGGGGGGACGGTTTCCCCCGAACTCTCACGGTCAACGGAGCGCTCCCTCCGAACGCGACCGGCTAGGTCGGCCATCCGATTCGCCGATGACCCCCAGAGCTGGCACGGCGAGGCAGCGGGGCGAACGCCCGCCTACCCCACGCTCCACAGCGCGGGGCAGTGGCGCGCAGAGAGGACGCGGCGGCAGAGGGCGCGGCCGCTCGCCTGGTCCGATGGCTGGGGGAGGCCCCCTGAATGGCTTCCACAGGGCTGTGAGAAGGGCTTTAAGAGGAAATTCAGCGGAGGATACGACTGCTGCGGAGGAGCGTGCGGATGCCACTTATAGGCAGGAGGCGAGGGACGAGACTAGCACAGAGGATTCAGCTGGAGAGGACGACGATCCCGACATACCTGAACGAAGGCAAAGGCGGGCGGGGCGGATTCAAAGGGAGCAGCAGGCGCCGCTTAGACGGAATCAAGGGGCCAACGAGGCACAACCCTGCCAACCCTCGCGCCAATTTTCGCCAGAAGATCTGGCGAATAACGAACCCCTTTTCACGGGGATCGCAAATTGGGACACGGGACTGCTTTGCGACAGTCGCCAGCCCCCCCTTTCCCGTCGAATCCCCCAGAAATTACGCCAGCTTTTCGCTCTGGCGCTCTTGACACCCCTGCTCCACATCGCCAAACACCCATCCAGCCTCGCAGGCTGGCGCCTGTTACTTTTCACACCCAGACTCACCCTTCGCCTCAATTCGCCACGTCACCCGGATTGGCCAGCAGTCGAGCGACGACTGCAGCTGTTCCTGGCCGGCGAATGGGAACTACTTTACCTGGCTGCTGTCGATGCGATAACCAACCCACCGTTGCCACGACACTCTGGAGACGCCCTTGGCAAAATTTCTCGCGCCGAGGGCCTCGTCCGTCGAGGCAGCCTCAGACGTGCCCTACTGGCGTTGGACTCAACGCCGGTCAGCGAGTCAACGCCAGAGGTCCTCGCTGTGCTGACCTCCAAACATCCCCCCCCTCTGACCGAGTCCCTTGACTGGCCCGCCCTCGACGACTCAGAGCCTCCCACCTCAATCTCGCAGGCTGATTTCGTACGGTTACTTTGCCGCAGCGAAAACGGTGTCGGTGCAGGGCCGTCGGGAATGTGTTTTGAACATCTCCGCGACGCAGCCCTCGCGAACGCCTCCGTCGCCCTCAATCTCCACGCAGTAGCACAGCTCCTCCTAAAAGGGACTGCCACACCAGAAGTCGCGGAGCTCCTCACAGCCAGCCGCCTGCTGGCGTTTCCGAAGCCGCAGGGAGGCACGCGCCCAATCGCAGTAGGCGAGTGCCTCCACCGCCTGGTGGCAAAAGCGGGCCTCGCTGCCATGAACGAGCCCGCCCAAAGCCACCTCCTCCCACTGCAATTCGGCGTGGCAGTGAAAGCCGGAGGCGAAGCGATAATCCATGGCGCAAGGGCTTTCGCCACGGAATTCCCGTCCGCCCTCCTGCTCCAGGTCGACCTATCTAACGCCTTCAACAGCGTCGACCGTGGGGCCATCATAACGGGACTCTACAACTCCCCTCTTCGCCCCCTACTCCCCTTCGTGCGCCTATCCTATGGCGCCCCCTCGACCCTCTTCCTGGACGCCGGCTTCAACAGCCCGCCCCTCCTCAGCGCTCGTGGCGTCCGGCAAGGGGATCCCATGGGACCCCTTCTCTTCGCCGCCGCCATGCACCCCGCCCTGCGCGAGACCGCCCAGGCGTACCCCAGCGTCCTCTGCCTGGCGTACGCCGATGACATAACCCTGATGGGAGAGCCAGCGGCATGCACCGCCGCCTTCGCCCATCTCACCCACGCGCTGCTCCCACTAGGCCTGACCCATAATCCGGCTAAGTGCGCGGCATGGTCCACGGCCCCTCCCCCCCCCGACCTCCTCCCCCCGGGAATCCCCTTCTGCGCCTCCGGGTTGCGGATCTTGGGCAGCCATATCGGCCCACCAGACGCAGCGGCCAGTTTCCTGCGCGAACAGCTGGCCGCGATGGCCAAGCCTCTCCCCACCTTAGCGGCCATGGACCCCCAGTCCGCCAGCCTCCTCCTTCACCGCTGCGTCTCTCGTCGAGTCTCCTACCTGACCCGCACGACGCCGCTAAATCTGCTGCCAGCAGAGGAGTGGTCCCAGTGGGGACAACAACTCTACCACACCCTCCTGAGGGCGTGCAACCTCCAGCCCCCGCGCGGGGATCATGAGATGGCGCGCACGTGGCAGCAGGCCTCCCTCCCCCCCTCCCTCGGTGGGCTCGGGCTGACAGACCCCGCAGTCGAAGGGCCACACGCCCTCCTTACCAGCGTAGCCCACGCCCAGCGGCTCCTGGCCTCCCTCGCCAAGGACCCTTCCAGCCCCCTCGGGGCAGTGGCCCGCTCCCTCACACCACCCTACGCCAGCCCCACCCCCCTCCACTCCTGGCTAGCCGAATGCGAAGCGGCGCTGCCAGCTCCCGCCCGGGAGCTACTACGAGCCGAGCTCACGGAACCGTCAGACGCCCCGCTCCAGCACCGCATCGCCCTGGAAGTCCATGCAGCACGGTTCGCCGAGCAGCTGGAGGCGACCAGGACAATGGAGCTCAACCCCCTCAGCGGTCACACTCAGCGGCTCCTCTCCCTCACGGGGTATGGGGCAGGGGACTGGCTCCTAGCAATCCCCCTCTTCCCCTCCCTCAGGCTGGCACCCCCTCACTTCGCCATAGCCCTCGCCTTCCGCCTGGGCCTCCCCTTCCCCACACCACGAGTTTGCAACTGCGCCAAGAAGGTCCAGATCCCGGACCCACGGCTCCCCAACCACCTGTTCCGTTGTGGGACAGGGCACGGGCGCACCGATACCCACAACGCCCTCAGGGATGAATGCATCCGTATGGGCCAGGACGCGCAGCTCATCGTCTCGAAAGAGACGGCCCTCTACAACCCGGTCGATGGCAAAACCGCCGACCTAGCCGTCCGGGACCGGGACTCGGGAGCAGTCTGGATCTGCGACGTCACTGTTACAGACCCAGTCAGCTCCAGGGACCCCCTCGCCCGCAAGGGGCGCGGTTACATGGCAAGGGAGCAGGCGGACAAGAAGACCGACATGTACCGCCACAGGGCAGAATACGTAGGCTTCTTCCCGCTGGCCGTTGAGACATACGGCTGCCCCTGCGCGGAAGTGCCGGCCTTCCTCAAACTCCTGGCACACACGGCCGCCCGGCGCCTTTTCAATGCCGACCCCTCCTCGTACCAGGCGGCGAAACTACTTAGCCAGTTTCGCCAGCGCTGGTCCGTCACCCTCCAAAGAGGACAGGCACTGGCCTACCTGGGGAAAGTGAACGAGGCGTCACCGCTAGAGTGGCCCCCCTTGGGAGGGCCTGAAGCGGGCATGTCCCTCGGGGACTGCTTCGCCGTGATAGAACCTTAGAAAAGGGGGGGGGGGGGGGGGGGGGGTTTGGTAGGGCCGGGTGCTGGCCTTTCCCCACCGGCGGCTCTAGCCTACGCCTGCTCCACTTGCCTAGCATGTACCCAGGATTCCCAGCAACAAAGGACCATTCGAGAGAGAGAGAGAGAGAGAGAGAGAGAGAGAGAGAGAGAGAGAGAGAGAGAGAGAGAGAGAGAGAGAGAGGGGCGGAAGGACATGATGGGAAGAACAAGGGGCCGCACGTGAGAGAAGGGGTGCTGTGTTGTGTCACACTCTCATCCACACCAACTCGCACACCGTTACATTCATACGTGAACACACAGACATCACACACACCACACCGACAAACATCAAATACACGCACATCCTCTTGAGAAACAGAGCACGGGCAACTGGCAGCAAGCAACCGCACCTGAAGCGTGGAAGGCACGGTGAAAGAGCGAGCTGCGTTGCCACGTGGCAGCAGATGATTGGGGTGGACAGGCAGCGAAGTATGGAGTGGGGCGAGCTGAGAGGCAGTGGGTTGTCGTGTGGAAGGCATGGGGCGAGGCATGGGGCGAGGCATGGGGCGAGGCATGGGGCGAGGCATGGGGCGAGGCATGGGGTGAGGCATGGAGTGAGATACAGGGGGCGCTAGGGGAGTGGCGGAGGGGGCGGAGGTGCAAAGCGGGGGGGGAATGCGAGGGGCTCAGTGGGGACTGGAGGGGGCGGTGCAGGGATGGCGCGTGGGCGGGGTGGGGCGTTGCGCCATGGGTGCCACCCGCCCTCTCTGTGCCCTCAGCTGCCACGTGGCTGCACGCCGCCCGCTCGCCGCCACACACCGCTTCTGGCCGCCGTGCTCTCCACAGCGCCTCCTCGGATGCGCCGTGGGTGGTCAGGGCATGCGCGGACGACGCATGGGCGCGCGACGCATGGGCGCGTGACGCATGGGCGCGGGTATCCCGTTGACAGTCGTGCCCGACTGATGGGGCGCATCCGATTCCTGCAGCACACGCGGTTTCCACGGCGCCTGCACACGCGGGAAGGGGGAGGACGAGCAATCACGGGCGGACGAGAGGAGGAAGGCAGTAAGGAACGCGTTCGGAGCCCGGACGAGACGCGGGAGGCGAGTGACAGACGCGTAGCGAGTGACCGTGCCGACAGGTGCGGGCGGGAACGAGCGCCAACGTTTGCCGCCCTGCTGCGGTCTGCCATGCGACCCACAAAGCCGCGTAAACCCTGATCGCACCGCGCGAATCGTGTTCTCCTAAGGCGACGAGCGGCGACCAGCGCCGTATCTGACCTTGCGACCCACCAGGCGGTCCATGCGCGCTGTACCCATAGCCATAGCCATTGCCATAGCTGTGGCTGTGGCTCCAGCTCTGGCTCTGGCCGGCGCAGAGCCCCGCGAGGGCAGGCGGCGAGAGCCTGGAGAGGGCGCGAGAGCGAGCGTGGCGCAGCATGAGAGGCGGAATGGCGAGGAGAGGGCGAGGCGCGGTCAGTCGCTGGTAAGCAAGCAGCGCTCGATCGGCCGGTCTCCCCGCACGGCACGAGGCGGAGGCGAGGCGGCTGGGCGCTGTGGTAGTAGGAAAGCACACACGGGGCTGTGTTCTGGAAGGATCTATCAGCGAAGATTTCCTAGAGTTCGTGCTGCTTTATGTATATTTCAACTCAGCGGGTTCAAAGTAACCCGACGTCGGAAAAAATCCGACGTCGGGCATGCTAATTAAGCCGAATACACTTTCGTCAGCGTTCAAAGTACCTGACATTGGGCCCCAAACCGTTGAGCAAAATAACACTGAATCACGAACAGTTTCAAGGGCAAGTCCGCTCAAATTTTGGGCGGCCATGCGAACATTGGCTCGCGCGCGCCAAACAACCCTTCCCTGACGAGCGACTTTCGCCACTCGAGAGAAAAAAATGGGATGCGATATTTGGGCGGCTATCATGGGCGACTGTAGCAGAGCTACAGTACAGCGCTATGGAAGGTGTTCAAAGTGCAGCTTGTTAAAACCCGCGACCCAAATTGTTCATACGCTGTGCGTATGAACTTTGAGCCTCGACCTGTACGAGATTTGCGGAGAAATCGCGAGGGTGTTTCATCTCGTGAATTCGTGATTTGTCGTGAACCATCAGATTTGCAAACACACAGTTTGACGGTTGAGATTACACTTCGATTGACTGGGGGAAAAACACATGTTTTCGCGCCGTCAGATGGTAATCTGAAAAAAAAAAAAAAAAAAAAAAAAAAAAAAAAAAAAAAAAAAAAAAAAAAAAAAAAAAAAAAAAAAAAAGGAGGATGGATGAAAAACGCGTGGCACTTGGTGTCCCAAAATACCTGTCGCACTGAACTTGAAAGTCCCTCCCTCCAAACACCCACGAAATCGCAACTTTCAAACGCACTATGTTTGAAGGCCGCGCATCGCAGTTTGGGCCGCACGGGTTCTAAGGCCACGACGTCGGCTTAAAGTCCGCGACCCAAATTGCGAGGTGCGGCCTTCAAACGCACTGCGTTTGAAAGTAGCGCTTTCGTGGGTGTAGAGTGGGGTAACGTGAGTCTCGCCACTCTAGGGGTGTCTTTCAAGTTCACTGCCTGCTGCAATTTGGAACTCCATGTGTAGCATGTTTATTTGCCGTCCATTTTTCACATATCTGCATCTGACAGTCCGCACGCAAACTCTTCTGTCCAAAGCACCACCAGTAATTCGGGGATCAATCTCAACCGTCCAAAATCGTCGGGTCGAATCTGACGGTGCACGAACACTGTGCAGTTCACGAGGAAAAACACCCTCGCGATTTTCCCGTGCGTTTCGTAAAACAGCACGCCCAGAGTTCTTACACAGTGCGTTTGAACAATTTGGGCCGCGGGTTTTAAGAGGGCGCGACGTTGGATTTAGGGCGACGTCGGAGGCAAGGTCACTTTGAACCCGCTCTAACCACTGCTTTGCCCTTTCTCGTATCATCTTATAGCCTGCTCAGCAGGTTGCATATTTGTACTGTTCAAGTAGGCGGGGCGGTAGAATCTGATTGGTCGACAATTTTTTGTAGAAACGAATTATTTTGGCGAAGGGGAGGCTTCGAAGAGTCAACATTGGTTCGCGCAAGCTAGCGGGGCTAGAAACTTGGCAGGGTTGCAAGGTTTTGGAGCTCTCATTCTTGTTGGGAACCACCTTCCCAGCTCTGCCAAGTTTGCAGGATGACTGGTTGGCTGTTGACATCACAACCAGCGCCTCGTCCTGATCGGTTTCGAAAACAAAAATCGGATGCGGTTTGGCGCGCTCTACAGTTCGATAATATGCGACACAAAACGTTCGAAGCACATTCTGTTTTTGCGATTCCCGCCCATACTGCGAGTACAATCTTAGGTTTCTACCCCCCACACAATTCGTCCCATTTCTCCCCTTGAAGTACTTGGCAGGTTGGCATTGCCAAGTTCCGAGAGGTCCCCAACCCTGCCAGGTTGGAAACCCTTCGCGAGCGTTTGGTAGTTTGACGCAAGCTGCTCGGTTACGGGGGCCTCAAGGTGCAGCATCTTGAGAAAAGGGGACGTGCAACCTGCCGGTCGGGCTTTATATGACTTGTAAACAAGATTGAAGTTCTGAAATTGAAGGTATTCATATTGCCAGTGTGCATGTGATTTGCTCATACGATGCGTCAGTTTTTTTAGTGTGCCTGTATGTTGCATCCTGCAAGACGACCACTTCCACGAGGAAACTCTCGTACAGCGGGGACGTCTGAAGTGTGAGTGTGCTGTGCTCTTAAAACCCACATCCCAAATTAGGGGCGGCAGCCTTCAAACACACCGCGTTTGAAATTAGCCTTTACGTGGGTGTAGGGAGGTAACGTGACTCTCGTCACTCAGGGGTGCTGTTCAAGCTCAGCGTGGAGGTTATTCTGGAACACTGAGTGCACGGCGTTTTTTGTCCGTCCATTGTTTTGCAGATTCCCATCGGACGGCGCGAAATCCAAACTTTCCCCCAGTCGATACGGAAATTAATCGCAACCGTCAAATTGCGTTTTTGCCGTCAGATTAATTTCGGGCCTCGAACTACTTCCAATTCGCGAGCTGAAACGGCCTTGCGATTTTTTAGCGTGTTTCGTGCAACCTCAGCTTAAAGTTCATACGCAGTGCGTTTGAACAATTTGGGATGCGGGTTTTAACATTTTCACGCCAAACTCGGGATTTCATGGTCCACTGTGGTGAAACAAGAAGACTACTTAAACGTTGGGCACCGTGCTTCACCGTATTAGATGCACTGAACACGTGCTCACTATTTGAACACTCCTGATCAATACGGGAGCGTTTCTGAGGTTCGGTTTGGAGATGCAACCTTGCCAACAGAAAACCTAAGTCTCGCAGCGCGTCCTCCACTAAGATATCGGCTCGGCGCGCTATTCCCCTTGAACCGTTGAACCGTTGAACCGTTGCGGCGTATCGCGGCTGCCGGCAGCGCCATGGGCGAGGAGTCGCCGGAGAAGCGCTTCGCGCGCGTCATGGACATCCTCTCGCCGCCGCTGCCGGCCAGATCTAGGTATGCCCAGGGCGCTCGTTTCGGCTTGGGTTGGCTTCGGCTCCACTTGATTCGGCTCGTCCTTTCTGTGTTGCCTAGCTATGCTCTTCGTTCTAAGCTATGGACTCCTCATAGGTTTCCGTCCTTTTTGTTCGCGCGTCTTCCTCTCTCTCTCTCACTCTCACTCTCTCTCTCTCTCTCTCTCTCTCTCTCTCTCTCTCTCTCTCTCTCTCTCTCTCTCTCTCTTAAACTCTCTCTCTCTCTCTCTCTCTCTCTCTCTCTCTCTCTCTCTCTCTCTCTCTCTCTCTCTCTCTCTCTCTCTCTCTTAAACTCTCTCTCTCTCTCTCTCTCTCTCTCTCTCTCTCTCTCTCTTAAACTCTCTCTCTCTCTCTCTCTCTCTCTCTCTCTCTCTCTCTCTCTCTCTCTCTCTCTCTCTCTCTCTCTCTCTCACTCTCACTGGTCGTTCTCTCCATGCCTCCTTTCTCCAGCCCTGTTCTCTCCCGCTGTTTTCCCTCGCAGCCTCTCCCTCTAAGCCTCTTCCTATCTCTCGCCCACGCACACACCTGCGGAGCGTTCTCTTTTTTCCTCACTTCTGTGCCTGCCAGCTCAGCAGCCCGTCACACACCGACACCTGGATCCAGCGTGGCACCATTCCGTGGCGTGGCGGCCCAGGCGGCGTTCAGCTCCAACAGCGCGCCGCCGCGCCCCGCCGTGCCGCTCGCGCTGGGGCACGCGGCGGGGGTGGGCGCCCCCGCAACGCATTCCCACGGCGAGGCAGCTGCGGCGACGAGTGCGGCGCGCGCGGGCGCGGGGTTGTGCCGGCCGTGGGAGCGCAACGACCTGCTGCGGCGGCTCGCCACCTTCAAGTCCACCTCCTGGTTCGCCAAGCCGCAGGTGCGCCTCCTGGTTCGCCAAGCCGCAGGTGCGCCTCCTGGTTCGCCAAGCCGCAGGTGCGCCTCCTGCTTTCGCCAAGCCGCAGGTGCGCCTCCTGCTTCGCCAAGCCGCAGGTGGCCCGCGCTGCTGCACGTGACGCATGACGTACGCGTGCGTGCTGTTGGTGGGTCCCCCACTCTCTTCAGCTGTACCGCTGGGCGCTCACGTGCCTCTGTGCCGCTTCCCGTGCGGCCCACCCACATCCCTATGTGTAACTCCTCTGTCTTCCGCCCTCTCCCCCTCCAGGTGGCCGGCCCAGTGGCGTGTGCGCGGCGGGGGTGGGTGAACTGCGACGTGGACATGCTGGCATGCGAGGTGTGCCACGCGCGCCTCAGCTTCTGCGTGCCGCCCTCATGGTCCCGAGCTCAAGGTCAGCTTCTGCGTGCCGCCCTCATGGTCCCGAGCTCAAGGTCAGCTTCTGCGTGCCGCCCTCATGGTCCCGAGCTCAATGTCAGCTTCTGTGAATCCAGAGGAGCTTTTAATGTATCACGGCAAGCCCTTTCCTCTCAAACCCCTGCTCTCTTTTTCTCACCCTCGTTTCCTTCTTATCTGCCCACCTCTCCTCATCCTCCCGTCTTGCCTTCCCCTCCCTCCTCCCTCCCTCCTCCTTGGGTGCAGTGGAGCGGGCGGCAGCGGAGGTGGCGGGGCGGCTGGAGTCGGCTCACCGGCAGCACTGCGCGTGGCGCGGCAACGAGTGCGACGAGGCGCTGCTGCTCTTCCCCCCGCAGCCCCCCGCTGCGCTGGCCGCCGCCCTCTTCCAGCGCTGCGACGCGCTGCACCACCTGGCGCGCCTGCCCGCGCTGGCGCCCGCTGCCGTGGAGCGCATGCGCGGCGCCAGCAGCCAGGCGCTGGACGCGCTGCTGGCGCTGCCGCCCATCCCAGTGGGCGCACCGTGGGACGACGCCGTGGGGGGGCGAGCAGTGCATGTCACCTCGGACGCTGCTGCGTACATCCAGGTGCGCTGCCCTGCTTCCCAGCGCTCCTGTCGCCTTGCTCGAGACTCCCCCCTCATGCGCCGTTTGGCCCCACCCTCATGCGCCATGCCCCCCCGGGTGCACCCCCGTGTCCAGGTGCAGCGCATCATTGCCGTGTGCGGGTGGGAGCCGCGCGCCCTTGGCTTCGTGCACGACGCGCAGGAGCTGCCCGGCACCACGCATGGGGACGCCGCTGCGCACCCCCGCCTTCATGGCCACGCGCGCATGGCCTCGCGCGCGCCTCCTGGCATCCCTGCGTCGGCGGCGGTGTTGCAGTGCGCGCTGTGCGGCGCCAGCGTGGGCGTGTGGAACTACTCCACGCTGCCGCGCCCCCCCGCCCCCCTCGCCCTCCCGCCCGCCTCGCCGCAACTCTCTGCCAGACAAGGGCAGGCAGGGGAGGTGGGGGCGAGGGAGGGGGAGAGGGAGTTGGAGGAGGAGAGGGAGAGGGAAGGTGCACGAGAGGGGGCGAAGGCAGAGGAGGAGCAGCGGGAGGGTGAGAGTGGGGCTCGGAAGAGCCTCCCGGCCGCCCCTGCAGCAGCCGCCATAATCATTGCGCCTGTGGGCGCGATGAGCATCACGAGCCCGCCCCACACTGCTGGGCTGCACGCAGGGGGCAAGGCGAGGGGACGCTGGGCAGTGTCCCGAGGGCAGGGGGAAGCTGGTGTGGCGGAAGGCGTGGGGGAAGGCCCAGGAGAAGAGACAGCGGGGGTGAGAGAGGGGTTTTGGGGGGCAGGAGAAGCGGAGGGAGGTGGGGGGGGCAGGGAGAGGAGGTTAGAGCCGGAGGTGGTGACGTCTCCCAGGCGGGTAAACGGGCAGCGCGAGGGGGGAGAAGAGATTGAGCAAGAAAAGCCTGCTCCGCTTCCTGCTGTGGCTACTTCCCCTGGTGTTGCTGTTGCTGTTGCTGTTGCTGCTGATAACCCTGCAGCTGCTGCGACTGGTGGAGGTGGTGGTGGTGGTGGTGTGAGTGGGAGGGCGGCAGCGGGCAGCATGGCAGCTCCTGCTTCGGTCGTGAGGAGGCCAAAGCAGGGCTGGGAGGCAGTGGGGGTCACAGCAGCTGTTGAGCCGGTGGCAGCGCGCCCTGGTGCACCAGAGGCAGCAGCACAGCCAAGAGCAGACGGCGCCAAGCCAGGCAATGCTGCCTCTGCTGCCGCGCCACTAACCACTGCCGAGCCCCAGTCACCATCGCCAGCAGCAGCAGCGGCAGGGGGCGCAACGAGCCATGCGTTGGACCTCGGTCTGACCATTGCTGGCGGCCTCCCTCCCACGCACCTCTCCTCCTCCCCCCCACCACGCCCCTTCGGCTCTGCCTCCGCCCTCCCCCTCTTTGGACCCGGGCTGCCAATCCCTGGCTGCCACCTCAGCAGGCCCGCAGGCTCTAGTCCAGGTGCAGGCAGCAAGGTAGGCGCAGGGGGAGGGGGAGGGGGAGGGGGAGGGGGAGAGCGACCAGCAGGGAGAGAAGGGGTGGGAGAGGAAAGAGGTGCAGTGGGTGGGGGAGAGGGGGGGAATGCGGGCGCGGAGGGGTTTGGGCAGTGTTTGGGCGAGGCGAGCTTTGGGCGCGGGGGGGCGCATGCACTGCCGATGAACAGTGCGGAGGGCGTGGTGGCGGACATGGCGGAGGTGTCGTCCGAGGAGGCCGAGGTGGAGGGCCACCTTCGCGGCAAGGGCCTGCGCGGCAAACCGTCCTCTCGCTCCCTCGCAGGCACGGCGCGCAGCAAGGATGCGCAAGAGGGAGACACAGAGGGACGCGTGGCAGCACACGGTGGCAGGGGGGCGTGGGGCAAGGAGGGGGGGGGTGACAACGAGAGGATGGAGGGGGGAGATGAGAGCGGGAGGGGGGAGGAGTGTGGGGAGACGCAGCGGATGGAGGGGGGGACGAGACGGGCAACGACGAGGGGGAGGGCGCGAGGCTGGCAGAGGCAGCGCAGCACAGCCGGTATGACGGGGGCAGTCGCCACCTGGCCGCGCCTGCGAGCACGGAGCACAGGGAGGGCGGTGGCAGGGAGGGCCATAGCGCTGCTCCTGCGGACCAGCAGTCGCACGGAACGCCCTTTCTCACGCCCTCCTTTCCTGCCCCTGCTGCCTCCACCGCCGCTGCTGCCACCACAGGAGGGGAAAGGGGCGTGCATGGTGGTGTGGCGGCAGCAGCAGGCAGTGCGGCAGTGGGGTCCAGTGCGATGGGGTATGGGGAGGACGCACAGAGGCAGAGGGGCAGGGCCATGGAGGGGGTGAGGAGGGGCCGGGCGTTGGAGGGCAGAGCAGGGGGCAGCGAGTTCCTGGAGCCCCCGCAGAAGCGCCGCCACGTGGACAGCTCCTCTGCCCACGCACCCCGCCCCCCCGCCTCCCGCTCCGCCTTGGGCTCGGGGCAGCGAGGCAAGGGCGCGGGTGCAGGGGGGGGAGAGGCTGGGAGAGGGGTGGGTGGAGGGAAGGGGGTGGGAGGTAAGGTGGGCGAAGCAGTTGGTGGTCCCCCTCCCCCTCCTCCTCCTGCTGCTGCCGCTGCTGCTAGCACTGGTGGAGCAGCAGCAGGGGCAGCAGGGGCAGCAGGGGCAGCAGGGGCAGCAGGGGCAGCAGGGGCAGCAGGGGCAGCAGGGGCAGCAGGGGCAGCAGGGGCAGCAGGGGCAGCAGGGGCAGCAGGGGCAGCAGGGGCCGCAGGGGCAGCAGGGGCAGCAGGGGCAGCAGCGGCAGCAGGGGGCATGGGTGCGGTGGGGGGGGAGTGGGCGCGTGCGTCGTCGGTGTATGCGACGAACACGGACTTCAGCGAGCGCGATGACACCAGCGCTGACAGCGTCGACAACCTGCCGCCCCCCCACGACCCCCACGCCCAGGGGGCAGGCCAGGGGCAGGGAGGGGGAGGTGGGCAGGTGGAAGTTGCAAGTGAAGTGGGGGGAGTTGTTGGGGAGGGGGGGAGGTGGGGTAGGAGAGGAGGGGGGCAGCAGGGAGGCCTATGTGTTACCCGGGGCAGCAGAGGCGGGGGCAGGACAGGCGGGTTCCGGGGATGAGGCAGGCGAGAGGGCAGAAGCGGAGGGCGGGGCGGTGATGGCACGGGGCGTGGGGAGGGGAGCTGGCAGGGAGAGCATGGGGGCGCAGGGAGAAGGGGGCGGGGAGGCGGTGCAGGGGGGAATGGCGCACTCTGGGCGTCCGGAGGTTCCAGAGGGAGAGGTTAGGGAGGAGCGTGCTGCTGCTGGCTGCACTGGCGCCAGTGCTGGTGCTGGTGTTGCTGCTGCTGCTGCTGCATCTGCCATGGGCGTGGATGCCATGGGCGTGGGGGGCAGTGCGGCGAGTGCGGGGCGCATTGAGGCGGGCAGGGCGGGCGCGCTGGCAGTGGAGGGCGAGGAGGGGCTGAGCAAGAGCGGGGAGGGCGGGGGTGAGGAGGGGGGCGAGGCGGCGACGAATGCGGCGGTGATCAGCACGGGCACGGCGGCGGACGACGCCGAGGGGCCGGGCGCGGGCAGTGTGGCGATGGGGGCGAGCGTGGAGGTGGAGGCGGAGGCGCAGGACGGCCACGTCGTCGACGCCTCACGCGCCCTCGCCTCCGGGGGCGGGGGGAGGGACAACCCGGGCGCAGCACTGGTGGGGATGGCGCTGTCCGCGTGCCGCAGCGTGGTGGGGGGGGATGGGGCCGCCTGGGGGGGGGCTGCTGGGGTGACTGCTGGCAGAGGGGTGGGTAGTGGGCCTGGGGGCGCAGAGGCGCAGGGGGCGGAGGGCGTGGGGGGGGAGGTACAGGGGAGGGGGAGGGGGGGCATGGGGAGAGGGGAGGCAGCAGGCAGGTTGAGAGTTTCAGCTTTGCGGGTGGGGGGTGGGGTAGAAGATGGGGAGGCGGGGAGGACGGGGGGAGAAGGGGAGGAGAGGTTGGCGAAGAGGCAAGGGGGAATGCAGTTGGGAGGATTGGGGACATGGCGCTTGGGATTGGTGGGGAGCAGCATGGGCAGACGGGGGAGGGCATGGGGGAGGGTATGGGGGAGGTCATGGGGGAGGGGGCAGGCATGACGGGCATGGAACAGGTGGCAGCAGGGGGTGTGGCGGTGGGGGAAAGGGGGGGAGGAACAGGGGCAGCGGGGGGAAGGGGAGGAAGGGACAGTGGCGTTTTGGGTGAGGGACGGAGGGGAAGCAGCTTGGGTAAAGGAGTTGAGGAGGGGCCAGGGGGTGAGAGGGCAGGGGAAGCAAAAGGGCAAGGGAGGAGGCGTGAGTGGGGAGGGCAGGGGGAGGGTGCGGGGGAGAATGGGGGCCCAGAGGATACCCGAGACACCACCCAGGGGCTGCTCATAGGGGAAGACGCTGATGGGGATGGAGACGCTGAGGTGGACGTCCGTGCTGACGTGGCAAATGTTGGAGTGGCAGCAGGGGGCATGCGGGAAGCAGCCGAGGGCACGGGGGAAGTGGGGCTGGCAGCAGCTGGGGAAGAAGGGGCAGGGGAGGGGATGGTGGGGATGGATGTGGATGAGGGGCAGGGGGAGGGAGGGGGGTTGGCGGGCATGCAGTGTGGGCGTGTGAGGGAGCGGGCGCATGGAGATGAGCGCATGGCTGGCGGTGGCAACGGTCACATGAATGTGCATGGCGAGGCGCATGGTGGCGCAGGGAGCAGGCAGCACATGGACATGGGTGGGGTCGAGCGAGGCCAGCATGCTGCCAGGGTGGGTTCACTTATGGGGCTTGGAGAGGAAGTGGGAGTGGAGGGAGGAGGGGGGGAAGGCCATGGGAGAGTGGGGGGTGCAGGCAGAGAAGGTCAAAGTGTGGATGGTACCGGCACTGCTGTTGCTGATCATGCCACTCCGGCTGCTGCCGCTGTTCCCACTGCTGTTGCTGCTGACGGTGTCGGTCCACCTTGTGTGGTTGAGCCTGAGGTCAGCAGTGGCTCACCTCCCGCCACTGCCAATGCTGCCAATGCTGCCACTGCGGCTGCTGCCGGTGCTGCGACTACCGCTGCTAGGTCTGCCCATCCTGCCACGAATCTAGGCACACCCTCTGGTGCGTATGTCTGTGCCCCATCTGAGCCTTTCACCAGTCTGCCATTTCCTAATATGCTTTCACCTCGCATCTCTGCTTTCTCTCCTCCCTTGAAGATCTAGATCTCCCCCGTCACAACTCACCAGCTCCCAACACCATTTGTGCCACATGCTCGACTCATGCCATTTTAGCCACATGCCCTATCCCTTTCGCTCCATGTGTCATGTCAGATGAACCGCAGCGCCTGTTTGACCCGCTGCTGAGCCACCGCCGCTTCTGCCCCTGGGTCAACGCCCTCGCTGCCTTGAGCCAGGTCAATGCTCTGCCTGCCCCGCCCCACACACACCCTCTCCCCACCGTGCCCCCCTCCCACGGCACCACCCCTGCCGTGCTACCTGTGGAGCGGGGCATGCCCGGATGGCAGCAGTGCCTGGCAGCCCTGCACCACCTGCAGCCGGTTGCCGCTGCCCCCGTGCACACACCTGCACACTGGGCGGCTGATGGCGCTGCCGAAGGGGCAGCCGACTGGCTGCCTGGAGGGATGGAGACATGCGACCTGGTGACATCCTTCAAGGTACGGCATTGGCATTCGTTGGGGGCTCCTTGGGGGCTCAGCTGCCGGCCATGCTGGGAAACATGGTGGTTGGTGGCCAGGAGATGGTCAGGCGTGGGTTGGATGGTCCGTCGTGGGAGGGATGGTCAGGGCATGGCGACGGTGGTCAGTGTAGGTGAGTAGTCATACGGTGGAGGCCGGATGCATCTGTCAGGCGCGTGCCTATCGCCATCCACCGTACTTGTCAAGTAGTTGTCTGGCGTCCTCTAACCCTCATGCTGTTCCCTCCTTTGTTTCTTGACCCGTGCTTTGTCCTGCACGTTGTCATGGCTAAGCGCCATGCACCATCTGCCATGCGCCATGCATGGTGTGTCATCTGAAATCCATTATGGCTTATGTGCGTATCACAGGGTGATGCAATATCTTCTGTACGAAGACTCTTCCAAGGCCGGCGCTCCTCTTCCTTTGCCTCTCGCACCCATCAGTCCCCCCAGTAATCCCTCAGTTCTGGAGTCACCTGCAGCACTACTTTTTCCTCATCCAGCTCTCCGCTCCGCTTTAGGGCGAATTCCTAGATGGAAAAATCATTACCGTATCAAATATTAGAATTGTCATTTCAGCACATGGCAAATGACCAGAGGATGTGGAGTCGATTGTTGCTTGGGCACTTCATCCTGTCCTGCCCTGACAACTTGCTTTTCAACCACACGGCTAAGCCAGAAAGATATGAATGCATGCAGTATGTAGTGTTAGAAGGTGATGACGGCAACCACGACAGTGACGAGAGCGGCAGCGGCGGCGGCGTGCGGCGGCAACGGCCTGCGGCAACGGCGGCGGCGGCGGCGACTTCAACATCAGAGGCGACTGCAGCGGCCCCCGCCCTTTCGGCGGCATGGCCAGTCTCGACGGCGATGGGGGCCCCCACGCGCCAGGCGTCGGCTGTGGCGAGGAGGGGACGCAGGGGAAGGAGGGCAGCTGGCGTGCGGGCGGTGGCGACGTCACAGGCGTCGCGCGGTCGGCTGCGGCCCGACGGCGCCGTCACAGAGCGGCGTCGATGCCGCAGCGGGACGTCGACGCTGCGACGGCAGCACGACGGCCCGACACCACGGCAGCGCGTCGAGACGGCCGCGGCACGACGCGGCCAGCGGCATCACGATGCCGCCACTGCAGCAAAACGCGGCCGCCATGGCCGCGCGAGCGAACGAGGGTGAGGAGTACGCGGCGGAAGCGTGAGGAGGCGGTCCAGCAGGGAGGAACTCCTCTGATACCATGTTAGAAGGCTAGCTTAGCTAGGAAGCTAGGAAAGGCATGAGGTTTAGCTAGGAGGAGCCATGGAGTGGCGTGAGGTTTAGGAAGGAGAAAAGTTGAGGAGAGAAAAGAGAGTTAGGAAAGAAGAGAGGGGGATACAAGGAGGGGTGTTGTACCCCCTAGAGTAATGTTCAGTAACATCTAATCTACCAAGCCTACACATTATATAACTCAATATATAATTTTAACATGTAGTAGTGGTATTACGAGTACATCAGTGAAGAGTGCAGTAGGTAGGCATGCTGATTGGTGCAGTACTTCATATGTTCCATCACTACTGCCTCAACTCCCTGTGCCCTACTTGGTCTGCTTGGCCATCATGTTTCCCACATCCAGCGCCTTCAGGCATCCCAAACAACTGTTCTTCATTCAGAGTCTTGAATGGAATCTCAACTGGAAACAAACAGCATGAGTTGCCAACTTGCCACTTCATCGAATCCTTCCCAACTCCTCAAACAGGTTGCGCCAATCTTCCTCTATGAAATGAGCAACATCGTCCTCACACAGTAGAAGTGCGTGTGCCACTTACTTCGGCGTCGCAAACACGTGTGCGATGGGAAGGCGTCGTCGGAGGATCACATACAGGAATTCCTGCGCCTGTCTAGCCTTCCAGCGATCTTCCGGTGCAAAATTGGCCGGCTGTAGATTCTTAAGGAACTCTCAAAGTCGTATTTAGTGCTCGAGTGTGTCCGTCCTCTGTCCCACCCCATAAATCCCCGTCTTACCAACCCCCCTCCCCCGCACCTGGACGCCCTTCACACCCGTCGCCTTCTCGGCCATGCTGTGATGAGGAGGGTCTGGTGGACGGGAAAACGTTGCTGCATAAACCTCCTCTGCCCCCCCTTTCTTCTCTACCCTCCCCTCTACCCTCTCCTCCACACTCCCCTATCCCCTCTCCTTCCCCGTCCCCTCCCCCTTCCTGAATTATGTAGTGAACCCCCCCCCCCCCCCCCTCCCCCCTCCGGAATCATGTAGCGAACCTCCCTATTCTGAATCGTGAAGCAAACCTCCATTGGCTTGGGAACTCTCTCCCCCATCTCACCCTCCCTAATCGCCCTGCCACTCCCCCACCCTCTCCCTTATCCTCCTCTTCTTACCCTTCCCACTACCCTTCCCTTTCCTTTTACTCCTCCTCCTTCCTTTTCCTCTAGGACTGCTCTCCCCCCCACTCTCTCCTTCCCTGCTTCCATCGTCCTCGCCACTCCCCTCGCCCATATCCTCGCCCTGCACCTCCACTACGTGTTCTTCCTCTTCATCCTCCACCTCATCCACCCTCCCACTCCCTCCCTCCGTCACCCTCCCCGTCCCCATAACCTCCAGCAGTTCCACCTCTTCCTCCTCCTCTATCTCGCCATCCCTCTCCCCAAGTTCCATCCCCTCTCCCCAAGTTCCATCCCCTCTCCCCCGAGTTCCATCCCCTCTCCCCCGAGTTCCATCCCCTCTCCCCCGAGTTCCATCCCCTCTCCCCCGAGTTCCATCCCCTCTCCCCCGAGTTCCATCCCCTCTCCCCCCAGTTCCATCCCCTCTCCCCCGAGTTCCATCCCCTCTCCCCCGAGTTCCATTCTCTCCCCAAAGTTCCACCCCCCTTATGCAGGTTCACCCCTCTGAGTGTACGCCTCCCGGTAGCCTCCCCCTCCTCCGGGTTCCACCACCTGCTGGTTCCCCCCCCTACGGATTCGCCCCCTTGCAGGTTCGCCCGGCTGCGGGTTCGCCTCGCTACTGGTTCCTCATCCTGCAGGTTCAGCCCCCTGAAGATTCCCACTCTACAGATTCGCCCCTCTCCACATTGTGTGGCACCTCCGCCACACCCGCCTCCTCCCCCTCCTCCTCCATCTCCCCGCTTCCCCAGCCTTCTCCTCCTCCCCCCACTCCTCCTGCCATCCCCCCTCCCGGCACCTCCTCTTGGGCACGCACTTCGAACATCTCATCACCACCACTTCCTCCTCCTGTCGTTTCTGTGGAAAAACCTTCTGTGTTGGAAAGAAAGTGCGCCCAGCCAGGATTCTGAAAAAGAAATCAGGGAGATGAAGACAATGAAGTTTCTGAAGGGTCAAACCTGACAACCATAGCCTCGTGCAACCAACGCTCATGGCTCGGTGCAGCCATAGCTGATGGGCCACAGCAGCCAGAGCTGATGGCTTGCGCAGCCAGAGCTGATGGCTTGCGCAGCCAGAGCTGATGGCTTGCGCAGCCAGAGCTGATGGCTTGCGCAGCCAGAGCTGATGGCTTGCACAGTCAGAGCTGATGGCTTGCGCCCATATCTTCTCCCACAAACTTACCGCTAGGAGCCACGGCGATATCTTCTCCTCCACATGCCTTTGCAGCTGGTCCAAAACAGCATCCCGAGCCCCGGCCTTCTCCTCCTCCCATCCCCATCTCTCCCCAGTTCCCTCTCCATCTCCCCCTCCTGTGGTTTCTGTGCCAGTTCCCTCCGAGTTGAGATAAAAGAATGACCAGCCAGGTTCCTGCAGAACACAATCAAGGGAATGTAGATGATGAAAGCCTGGTAAGAACAAACTTGACAACAATTTAGACCACAACCTTATGCTATTAGTGACCACACCGAGAAAATCCCAAACTTACTGCTTGGAGCCTCGAACTTATCTCCTCCACACGATTTTGCAGCAGGTCCAAAACAGCATCCTCGGCACCGCCCTGAGACATCGAAGTGACTGAACTTGAAAGGGATCCTGCAAGCAGGCCTCTCGATCTGACTGGTGGTCACTGGGGAGTAAGTCTGGCGGAGAACACAACAGAGCGGGGTTGGGCATAGCCGTATGCAACCACGGAATAGGGCAGAGTGCTTGGGGCAAGACCAAACAATTTGAAACAAGGTTACCCTACCTATAACAACCCTTGCCCTTATAGCATGGACAAACAAGGGTTGAAGTTTAGATCAACATCCAAGATCCTAGGATATAATAATGGAGTACAAAATTAACTAGCGATCTCCTAGCGTTGCACTTAGGAAAGAACCCCCTCTAAGAAGTAGCTTAAGCTTGAGGAAGGCTCTTGGAGGATAGTAGTTGAGGCTCTGGTTGGGTAGAGTTTCCTCTAGGAGACCACACTAGAAAACTACTAGTGTAGGGAGGCTTGTGAGGGGAGCCTCATGACTTCGAGAAAAAATCCCATTTCATGATTGATTTCTTGGAGTGGGAAGTTGAGAATGAGCTTCTCAGCTCAGACCCCTTCCAATGACCCCCAACAGCTGCTGCACCTCCTCCATGGCTCCAAGGAGGTGGGCTAGTTTATGTGGCAAAGGGTTGGATTTCCAACCAATGTATTCATATTAGCATTTGGTGTACAGCATAGGAATATTAGAGTTGAGTTGGCATTGCCAACCAACTCCCTAATTCTGATTAGTCACAAATCCATCCATTGCGTGGGTTGGAAATTTTGCCAAGTCAACATGTACAAGTACAATATGATTGGTTCAATCTTGACCAATCCCAAAACTCCCCTCCCAACCCCTTCTTCCCAAATTTGAAATAGGCCGTTGGGAAGGCAGTTTCGTAGGCCCGCGCACTGTTCATAGGCCAAGCGTTACACTCCTCCCCCTCTAAGTGGCAACGTCCTCGTTGTCGTAGAGTGCTTCTGGGGACGGGTGCTGCGAGCACGCCGAATCACATTACGACCACGGTCAACACCATCCACTGGTTGTGAGGCTACTCGTTGAGCCAGGTCTTCCAGATATCCGTGTACCGCAATTTCAGTCAAATGTTCCTCTGGCTCCCATGAGTTGTGTTCAGGCCCATAGCCTTTCCACTTAATAAGGAACTCACGTACTGTCTTGCGGCTGCACTGTTGATCACGGTGCATGAGCACACACTCGACCTCAAAAAAAAGTTCCTCTTCGAGGACTATCGTTAGTGGAGGTAAGTACTTGCCTTCAGCAACGTACTTATTGAGCAGAGACACGTGGAAGACGTTGTGAATCTGCAATGTATCGGGTAACTTCAGCTTGTAAGCTACCACACCAACATGCTGGATCACCTTGAACGGCCCAATCCATCGAGGGAACAGCTTTCGTGCCCCAGGGATTTTGAGACGAATGTTCGTCGTGCTCAATAATACCTTGTCTCCAACCTCAAAAGAGAATTCCCAGCGTTTCATGTCGGCATAAGACATTTGACGCTGCGGAGACAGTTGCAGCCAGCGGCGAGCACACTTTAGCACTTCTTGCTGCTTGCCCACAAAGTCTTTTGCGGCAGGGACTCGCAGTCCACTGATCCCATGCGTAGCAGGTGTTGTGGGATGCCGACCATAGTTCAGAATGAAGGCTTTTTCATGGGTACCTTCATGGACAGAATTGTTCACTGCGAACTCAGCCACAGGTAACAAGTCATCCCAATCATCATGAGTTGGGCCAATGAAGGAACGAAGCATCTTCTCAAGAGTATGATTCGTCTGCTCTGTCTGCCCATCCGTCTGGGGATGGAAGGTTGACGACATCTTTAGCTTCGTTCTGAGTGTCCGTGTAGTTGGACTTCTGAAAATCCTTCTTACTGCTAGAAGGTCCTTCGCCGCCATTGTTGTTGCCCTTAGGCTTACCTCCATGCTTAATGACATTCATATCGCGGCACTGAAATTCCATGTGACCGCGGCGGCCACACCCTCGGCATACGACATTAGAGAAGTCCCTTGACGGCCCTTTGTAACCGCCACCATTCGCTCTCTTAGCCGGAGGACGCTGCTGGTTACCATTCTGGTGGAAGGGCCTCTTATACCCATGGCCCTTCCCCTTGGAATTCCACTGGCCACCACCATTGCCACCATCACCATTCGCCTGAGTCCTCAACTCAGGCTGGTCGGTGGCAAGCGTTGCTAGCATACGAACAGTCTCGTCCGTAGCTTGAACCGCCTCTTTGAGCTCCTTGTAGGTGTTCCGTTTGTTGAGGCCATTTGCGACATCCTTATCCTGCAAGGACTTGGGCAAATTCTGGAAGAAGATATACATAACTTCATTCTCAGACAGTTTCTTACCCAACAGTCGCAGAACGCCCTCTAACTCTTGTGCATATTTCTGCACTGAGTGATCGCCGCACTTGATGTCGACGATGCACCTCCAAGTCAGTTGTCTTGACAAGGAAAGCCGCTTTCATTGCAGCGCAGAACTCATCCCAAGTGAAAA